CTTAAGAATTCCCAAGGAATTCTTGAAGTTTATGAAATCAATTTAATATTTTAATTTGTAAACAATACAACGATACTAAAGTATTTGTCCCATGTGAGAATATCTGAATTTAGAAAGTTACTGTAAATTAATGAGAAAAAGTTGCTGTTATACCGTGTGAAGATAAAGATATTCATCCGAATTCCAAGTATGATTATATAAACAATTAAATTAATCTGTAAAACGGGTAAATAGATTTCTCTTATTTTATCCATGTACATGATCTGCTAGTAAAGAAAAACAGCTAGTTGCCAAAGGCTAGAGTTGAACATATTGTGAACTAGCCATTGGAATGATTCTCCAGATTCACAAGGGGCATATTTCATGATTTGCTACCTGAATTGTCCACATGGTTTACACGTACATACTGGATATAAATATTAGTTATGCAGTACGTATCAAGTGTAGATGCCCAAAAATTAAATCCTGAAAATTTAATAGACTGTACATATACTTTTTGAGATATGTAATAAGAGGATGTTTATATGGGGGTCAGGCTGGATGCCCGGGGTTAGGGGCTAACGCAAGGGAAGCAAGATCTAGCTCGGGCTAAAGGGGCGGGATCTCGCTTAGCTATAGCTGGGCCCGCTCTTTACCCATATATACACAAGGTGAACTTTAGTAAGAAATAACAACAAAGGCAGGATCTTGCGAAAACTGGGCCAGCTTGGGTACCCTGGGGATGGCTTGCAGTTGCACCATATAAACAGCCCCTATATATAGGCAGTATATATTTTGTCTGGTAATTGGAGTCTTTGGAGATTTTGTGTGTAAATGAATATAAAAATGACCCTTTACGGGTGGGCTGAGGGGGGTGTTTCTGTCAACATTTTGGAAAGCAATATTTTATTAAAAAATTAGAATAATCACATATTAAATTCTGATAGTTGTATATATTGTATTGTGTGTGATTAAAGTAAGGTTATTTTTTTTTACCCCACCTCTGCATGCAAGGATTTTTTGGCCACCCCACCTAAAGCAACTATTATTTTTCAGTTACCCCACCATTTTCTCTTCGGCCCCCACCCCTGCCATAAATAATGACCGGTCCCTAAATGTTCCAAATTTGGACTTTATGTCTTTGAAAATTTTCTTAGTTTTAATATTGGGGGCAGTAAGTAACAGAATATTCACATCGGACATCCTCGAATTGAAATACGTCAAAATTGCATGTCTTAATGCCGTCGTTGCGACACTAATTGAAACTTCGCGTTTGAAAATGTCGCTAACGGACCACTGGATGGAAAATTCTTCACCTCTGTAGGATACGGAAAAAGTTGTGAGTCTTTCCTAGAAGCAACGAAAGTCGTTTCTTCAAGTACAATTTCAAGTAATACGCAAGCATTTCATCGCTATCAATTGTTGAAGTAGCTGCTCCGTACTTATCTGTGGTCTTGTAGTCAGTTTGAAACACAATGATAGAACGTTCAAGGTGATATTAATAAAGTTCTTTCCGTATACTTATACCGTGTACGAAATCAATAAAGTTCTTTCCGTATATTATTTATTCAACTCACCCTGCCGTCCCTCGTCATGTAAGTATAACGGTCACGAATAAAGACATCGAACCTGTTGAGCACAAACGGCCACGAATAAAGAAATGATGAAAAAATCATGCAGGTGTCGAACCTGTTGAGGACATGAACATTCTTCGAACTTGCAACGCAAGCTTTTTAGTGCGTCCAAGATGTTAGCGTGGTAAGACGTACGCGCTTGCTTTGACATACCTTCTTTACATTTTTCAGACAAGAGTCGGTTCTCTTGCTCAAGTTGACTTTGTAAGCGCCGTGGAAATATTATCTCTGGCAAAGTGCTGTGATCGACGCTATTTCTACCATAATTACATTTTACGATGTCGATAAGAACACTTATTATTCTACTTAATGTGGAAGGTTTTAAATTCCGATTGTCCTCTAAGAAGGTGATATACTCTAGAACTAAATCTGTGTCGTTACACAAGCGAAGTTTTAGCTGTTTCGCAGATTTGTACACATAACGAACGTAACGAAGAAAGCAGTGGAACCTTTGAAGTTGCGAATTGTACGCCATCACGATTTGGATTTAAATGTTTTCTGAAAAACTCGATCAATTTGTTTTACCTCTGCTTTCAATGCATGCGACTTGTCACTATCTTCCAAACGATATGTAGATCCCCTCTTTGATATGGTTTTCCCATAACATGTACGGACTGCGGAGATTGGAGATGTGTCTTTAACATCTAACAAGCAAGCAATTAATATTAAGGTAAGCTGTCGAAGCTCAAGAGTATAATGGAAATTTATTTATTTATTTAAATAAATAAACTCCCATTATTCTCTTCAGCTTTGACAGCATTCTCTTCAAGAAAAGAACTATTCATCTTATCTTATCCTTTGGGTATTGGAATGTAGGAAATTGTAAATAAGGTATACCCATCATGCTGTTGGGGACAAGCATAATTGGAATATGCCGAGATATTTACATTAGAAAAATTGAGTCGTTTCGATCTGCTGCATTTCGTTGAGTCGTTTCGATCTGCTCCTTTTCCAGCATAAGGATGGTTAAAATAAATGTTTACCGCATTTGTTATTCCTATCTCTTAAAGTAAAGAATTTCCTTTTCGTTTTCACATTTCCAAACTGGAATCAAAGTTATCTATATAGCTAGAAGCCAGCTGCATTTCGTCAGTCGTTTCCCAGTGAAAAACTCAATTTATCCAAATTTCACGAGAAACCGTGCTATTAATTAATAATTTACATAAATTTGTAGTTTCAACTTACGTTTACAGCGGAACATTCCACTGGCAAAGTTTTCCTGGCTTTATTATATCACATTATACAACGCTAACAGCTTGAAAATTCCACTCAACAGTGTAAGTTTTGTTAGTCTTGTTTAAGGTAAAGGCTTCTCCATTTAAAAATAAAGAAAAGCGGCGCCATGTTTGTTTTGTTTGAAGCAATCTGTGACCGTTTACTTCTTTAAACTAAACTGCTTTAAACTGATTGGTTGATTTTATCATCACCATGTTTTTCATCAGTCAGATCAGTTTGTTACAGATTTTTGCACTTTTACAGATTTTTGCACTGCTGTTTGGGATTAAATGCACTGAAACCAACCAATCACAGTCGAGTGATATTTCTATGTATATTATTAATATGTAAAAATCATGACTGATATCATGCACAACATTTTATAAAAATTACGTAACACGTAATAATTTACAAATTCAATTTGCTTGCAAAATCATGCATGAATTCAGTTGCTAAATAATTGTTCTTATTTCAACTTTGCTTCTCTAATGGTGCTTTACCAAAGTTCACAGGATCTAAAAATCCATGACTCTGATCTCGCTCTGTTCAGGTGCCCACTCGAAAAACCAACACGTGTTCTCCTTGTCGTTCGGACAGCAGAAAAACAGTCGATCTTTGTTGAGACCTTCTTTCTTCACCATTCGGATTGCATACGGGAATCCATGACGACACTCCATCATGGGCGAAATATTGTTTAGAATGAAAGCGCTTGGGCGTTCGTTTTTAGTGTGAAGTTTCTTCGAAACTTCACAGTATTGTGATGAGTGGGGGAAAATTCAAACGAAGCTTCTAGGCATTCGATTGAGTGCCGATATTATTTTCACGGTATACTTTTTATACAGAGGTAGCACGTAGGAAGGAGCGAGACAGTGTTGTTTTCAAATATATAAACATTTCAGACATGAATATTGATAAAATCTTTGCCGATTCTACGCAATATATAATTGATGTTATGCATTACCAGCATTGAATTATTAAATTCCTATCGATATTATTTAGACCGTACGCGAGTATTCGTTATACATTGACTGTATTATAATATATAATATAATATATAAAGATTTATACAGCGCTTAAATTATATAAAATATTCCAAAGCGCTTTACAACAATGAAGTTATACTATATACAAGTAGCTAAAATATTAAGAATTAAGGTATAGGTGTCTATAAATCTAAAAGTTAGAATCGAAAGCTTTCTTAAAAAGGAAAGTCTTTAATTGAGATTTAAAACAGTCAATTGTTTTACTATTTCTAATACCAGAAGGTAGCATGTTCCAAATTGACGGAGCTGCATGCACAAATGCTCGATCACCAAGAGTCTTGGCTCTAGTTTTTGGGATAAAAAGTAGTCCCTGATCATCAGATCTCAGTTGATAACAACAGTTCGGTTTTTCTAACAACAGTTCCATAATGTAGCCTGGCGCCATCCCGTGGAGAGCTTTATATACCAGAAGTGCAATTTTAAAATCAACGCGAAACTTGACAGGCAGCCAGTGAAGGTGCATCAGGACAGGGGTAATATGAGCACATCTTGGTATAAGACACGTCACTCTAGCAGCGGCATTGAGAACTCGTTGAAGACGCTGAAGTTGGTATTGGGGAATGCCGAACAAGAGAGAATTGCAGTAGTCCAAGTGTGACGTCACAAAGGCATGTACGAGCGTTTTAGTTGATTCGATGGAGAGAAACTTCCTTATTTGTCGGATGTTGTACAAGCCCCTAAATGCTTTGCTGCAAACCTTGCCCACATGGACATTCATCGACATATGTTCGTCAAACCACGAACCTAGATTTCGGACTTCTTGTACAGGTTTTATATCAGCATCACCAACTTCAATCGAGTCGATTGTAACCTTAGACAGCTGCTGGCGAGTTCCAATTATCAAGAATTCCGTTTTAGTGTCATTGAACATTAATTTATGTGAAACTAACCAAGCACGAACTTCGACGATGCAATTATTAATAGTTTGAATAGCTTGGTCTTGGACAACGGGTGACTCAGGACGGAAAGATAAATAAAGTTGAGTGTCATCTGCATACCCATGGGAAGAAGGTAAGTGCCTGTTAATAATCTGGAACAGTTGAGACACGTATAATAGGAAAAGGACCGGTCCAAGACAGCTTCCTTGTGGTACTCCACAGTTCAACGTAAAATTGGCGGAAAACTTTTGCTTAATATTAATACGCTGCTTTCTACAGGAAAGAAACGACTTAATCCACTTTAAGGCATTTCCGATCACACCAAATTCTAACTTCAATATATCCATCAGAATTTCATGATCAATGGTGTCAAAGGCGGCACTCAAATCCAAGAGCACTAAAAGAGTTACTTTCTGTTGGTCCATGTTCATAAGGATATCATTGTGGACTCTTAGGAGAGCTGTTTCGGTAGAGTGAAATTGACGATATGACGATTGGTTGTTAGGAAGAGGAGCATTATCAGCACAATGCTCAAATAACTGGCTAACAACTGCTTTTTCCGTAGCTTTAGAAACGAAAGACAGGTTACTGACGGGCCTGAAGTTCTCAAAGACTAGATCAAGACCGTATTTTTTTAGAATTGGAATAAGAATGGCAACTTTCCATGCTTCTGGGACGTGACCTTCACTTAACGACAAGTTGATCATTTTCATAATGACAGGTGTTAACTCACTGGCACATAATTTCAGCAGCCATGTTGGGATAGGATCAAGGTTACATGTTGCATTCGACGACTTCATGATTATGTTATGGACTTCTTCTTCTGACAGGAGCTTAAATGAGTCTAATTTGATATCAGGTAAACGATAATCTACTAATGGTGGGTCTACTACAACGTTTTCAATGTCATTTCTAATTAGCTCAATCTTTCGACAGAAATATTTTCCGAACTCATCAGCCAGTTTACGTGAATCATCATGTGGAGGCAAGGAGTTTTCTTGAGGTGTGTTGCAAAGTGAAGACACAACCTTAAAAAGTTTTCTTGAATCTCCCGAGCATTGATCGATAAGATCAGAATAGTATTTATGTTTAGCATTTTTCAAACTGGTAGCATACTTGTTACGCGCTTGGCGATAAGCGTCTTTATCATTTTGGCAATTTGATCGTAGCATTACTTTCTCCAGTTTTCTGCGTTTGGCCTTAATACGTTTAAGTTCTTCACTGAACCATGGTACTCTTGGTCTGACAACCACTATCTTTCTTTGTAAAGGGGCATGTTTCTCCAACATATGTGATAGCGTATTATCATAATGTTTCACCAAATCATCTAGATTGGAGCATGGGTCATTACACAGTTTGGAATCAGTGATGTCAGCTTTGAAGGCCTGAAGATTCAAATGATTTGTCTTACGAAACTGAATTTCCTTTGTCACAAGATTCGGGCGAGGAAAAGAGAGGTTGCATTCAACAAAACAATGATCTGACAAAAAGAAAGTAGTCTTGACTAGGTGAATATTAATGTCATTGGACGATCTCGAAATTAGAAGATCCAGGGTATGCCCAGACGAGTGAGTTGGTACAGTAACATGTTGTAATAAGCCAAAAGTTTCCAATAAAACAGTAAATGTTTTCGCGTCAGTATCAGACGGATCATCGAGATGGAAATTAAAGTCACCGGAGATTACTAATACTTCTGTGCACATAACAATGCTCTCAAGTAAGTTGGAGAATTCTTCGAAGAAAACGCTTGAAGAAACAGGGTGAGTTTGTGAATAAGGTGGACGATAGACTGCTAATGTTTTAATTGTACGGTTGAGTAAAGCCAAGTTCCATTCAGAGTATTCAAAAGATCGTTTTTCACCTCCGTCAATTAAAGTAACTTTAAAATTGGTATTAAACATAATGCCAGTGCCTCCCCCCATTCTGTTAGATTGTCTAGGAAGGTTTTTAAAAGAGTAACCAGGGGGAGAAAGCGCGGCTATGCTAACAGTGTCAACGTCTTTTAACCAGGTCTCAGTCACAATACACACATCAATATCGTTGCTCAAAACATGATCAACGATTTCGGCTGTTTTGTTTTTAAGAGATCTCGCATTAACATTGGCGAAACGTAGGAATTTTGTATGAGAATCTGAATTTAAGTTAGTTTTATGTACAGACACGCAGACACAGTTTGAAGGATTATGAGTACGAGCACGGTGACAACGACCATTACGCGGATCTAGTAATGGAACCGGTAGAATAGGATTTTGTCTCTCGATATTTTCCGGGATAGGCAGGGATCTTTCGGTTTCCGCACAGGTACTGTACGAAAAAAATCTACATTAGATTCATTCAGATTCGTGCTGCTCAATGGTCCATAATGAGACCCCAATGGCCCGCCATAAGATCGTCGATTGTTGTGGGCATAACTTCTGACATATTTTTTACGAGTTTGAAAGGGTTCTCTTCGATTTGGTGTTACATGGCCTCTGTTAGTAATGCGAACGGGAATAATAGTGTTTTTTCGTTGCGGGCTAGGAGCTTCATTGTTGAGATTGTTATTTAAGGATGTATTAGATGTATATAAATCGCCATGTTGCTTATCGTTATTACGGACATCGGAAGAAAGGTTAGGTACTGTATTTTTACATAAATTTGTATTATGAGATTTCGACCTTTTATCTTCGTTTTTCTGCGGTTGATTAGTTTCTATTGTTCGCTTATCCTCATGCATGATTACGCTAATGTCCGAGATACTTTTATCGTTTTCCTTACAGTCTAAAATACGTACGTCTGCGACAAAATCTTTCACACAACAAGGACTATTATTGTTGAACTGAATACTTTCAGCAATTGTTGTGCGATTTCCCATGTGTTTGACTTCAGGGACAGACAATTCAGACCTTTGTATACCTTCGCTAACCGTTGTTTGAGCATCGACCTTGTTTATCTGAATGTAGTTTCCTCTTGCATTAATTAACTCGCATACATTCGCTTTAATTACTTGAAGTTCGCTCGACTTTTCCTTGTTGTTGCACATTAATTTCTGGATTAAAACATCGAGCTCTTGCATTCGAGTAAATTGGGAAGATATTGTTTCCTGATTCTTGTGTAATAATGCTGAGAGCATGGCGACATCAAGTTGTAATTCAGCAACAGCAATGTCCGATTTAGAACAACCCTGACAAGATTCCAGTGTTTTATTAACAACTTCTCGATCAGAATCAATATCATGATTTCCAAACTTGCCTTCTTCAGTTATAGCTAGTCTTTTAAAGGCATTACTAAGAGCATTTTCTTCATCATCTTGCACAATCGATAACATTTTATTCTTAGGGCCGTGCCATTTGAAAGAATACTTCATATTAACGAATTGTTTCACGCCACCACCAGGAGACTTCCATACCCCTTTCCAACACAGATTATCTTCGATGTAAGACTTCAATTCATTAAGAGATCCATTCCAATAATATACTCGTTTGCTTGTAAGCATTTTGAAGGTTATATACAGTGTACAGTGTACAGTATACAGTATAAGTACAGTAAATAGCGGGATATTCTGTTGTTGAAAGGATATTAAGCAAAGTTGTAGCCCTCATCAAGACGGTAGTACCCGATAAATGTGATACGAGTTTTTCAAAAACTAAATTTTGAAAATGCTTCATTACGAAAATTTACTGCGCGAAAACTCAAAAGTCATGCATCAAAAGTTCAATTTGGTTACAATTGATATTAAATCTAACTATAATAACTTCTAACGCCTACCTTAATCTCGAGTGTGAGGGTCTTTAAAACAAAAACATCATCAAATTTAGTTATAATTGGATCTGGAACAATGGTCATTGATTTAAACTTTGGATATCCACTGAAAACCTCCCATGTTGTCACCGCGTCCAAGGAAAATGAAAGTTCAGCTTGAAGATGAGCTGTCAAGGTTCTTGTTAAATTTGGAAAAGGACAGATCATGTTACCGTAGCTGGGTTTGCCACAAATCTAAATAACACGAAATGAAAGAAATCAATATAATAACACATGTATCACAATGATATAAATTTCAAAAATATTTTTAACTCCTGAATCTCAAAAGAATGAAACCTATCCAATCCCAAGCCTTAAAGTTATCCGTGGTCCAGTGCTATAACAAGAGGAAACAAGAGTATTTGCAGAGATAAAATCTCTGGTATATGCTCTTTTAACATGCGACTGAGACAGCATTATAACACAGAGTAGATACATACAGAGCCGTAACTGACCGTCGTAAACACTGCGGAAGATTACGTTATAATGTACCCACTTTTTTTAAGGCGACCGGGCGAAAAATGATCAACTGCGCATGCTCGGCAAGTTTAAAGTGAATCGTCATCAGGTCGTCATCCAATCAGATGCATGCATCTAATAACTTGCCGAGCATGCGCACAAAAAAGTGGGTACACTAGTTACGGTTCTGTATGTCTCTCCTCTGTGATTATAATAACACTTATAACTGCATTCGCAGCAGCCTCGTACCCAGGCGCCTCAGAGAAAAAATATATGATCGCACTAAGCTATTATAAAGAGATCAGTGGCTAAGCTGAGCGAGCGCGCAGGGGCTTTGGAAGCAGGACGCTTATGTATAAGCGCCCTGATATATAAGCGCCCTGCCTAAGCGAGCAGCTTAGGGCGATTATATTTTTCACTCTAAAGCGCCAGAGTACGAGGCTGGCGTCGCAGAGATCAAAGAAACATCTACAGTACTAATTATTCTATCGCAGCAGAACGCAGCCACAGCAGAACCTGAGCAAAACAAAGCCGAAGACATTGCCTTAATAATTTGAACCCTAACCCCCATCTAACCCTAACCTCTAACCCCTAACCCTAATCTTAGTCTCACACTAATCTAATCCAAATCTGGCGACCTTATTTTTTTAATTCTGTAGAATTTAATTTTGGAGAATTTCAAATTTAAGCCATATCCTTAATTTTCAAAAGTTTTACAATTAAGACATAGCCTTAATTTTGAGAAGAGATCATGTTGGAAATGAACATAACTGGAACGCTACCTCCAACCGGAAATTTGAAGTCAAACCAACCTCAAACCCAAGGCTTCTGAGAGAGCAATAAGCGCAGCATCCTCGTTCCCAGGGCTTCTCGGCTGCCTGCGTTACCGTAAGCCGAGAAGCCCTGGAAACGAGGAAATCCTGTGTACGAGGCATTCTCGTACCCAGGGCCCTTCTTACGCGCGGTCAACGGAGCGCGACGAGGGGCTCTGGCATTGCTCTGGCCAAATCCATAACCGGTTTTTTAACAGCGCTCAAAATCAATGCATTTATTCAGGTAAAAATTCCTAGTAGATTTTTCTTTTAGTTGATTCTTATTTTTTTGGTAATAATTGTTCCGTGAGAGAATCGCGACGCGTGTCTGGTCAGATTTGTCTTCAAGAAAAAGATAGGCGGTTTATACATACAGTTTTCGTACCCGTTTCCCTATCTAAGTTCAGTGGTTTCCAACAAATAGTATCGCTAATCAAGGTATCAGTTCATAAAATCATAACATTACCCCTTAAATCGAAGTCAAAACATGAAATTTCGGCACACTCATCATCGTGTTAACCGCGCAGACAAAAACGATAGCGGGGACTGGCACTTCTCACCCCAGATATATATGAAGCTCACTTCTAGCATTATAATGATCACGTGTGTACTAATGTCAGTTCATAATATATATGTTATGTGTTATAATTCAGGAAAAGCCAAGTTAGTATTTTTAACTATGACTCACACTTTCAACATCATTTTTGTCCTGGAATGTCAATCTAATTCTAGGAGAATGTATGCCATTCAAGCCGGAACCAGTGACATTAATTTGTCGGTCAGAACTTAAAAGAAAGAAGAAAAATTGTGTTAACGAAGCTATCTACCAACGATAGATTTTTACCACAGCAAATAAATATATTAGCGTAATTAGCTCCTGTGGATACTTTCATTGGCTGTGATGATCATACAGCTAACGCTTTTCGGCTAGGCAAAAGAATAAACATTGTTTCCGCAACGAAATTCACAGCAAGGAAATATGAATTAGTTGGGAAATAGTTTCTGTTTTTCTGTTACCACAACGTTTCCCAAGATGAAAATATTCCGTAGAAAGTCGTCGTAATATTTTTGCAAGAATGTCTATTAGTTTGCCCAGGCATAGCAGCCCACTGGCTAGGCCTGCTACAGTTATTCTGAAGGTTGGGAACTAAAAACTATTAAAACATCGCTATACTTTAAAACTATCGAAAAAATATTTTAAATCTCTATTTGAAAGATGTTATTGCACTTCACTTGGTTGAATTTGAATGCCGGATTTGGTGGATAATCCAAGCGAGCATTATATAATACACTATAGTTCTGGGCTGACTGATAATAATTTGTGGAAATGTGTGTATAATGCAACTATCTGAAAAGTTGCATCAGGTAGATACAGGACATGCATCATTGACATACAGTAAGTCCGCAACTTGTGTTCCTACCTTGGGAACGTGATACGTGGTGTAATATCAGTTATAACGGGATCAGGAACATATTTGAACGATGTGACGTTTGCGCCATACACAGGCGGGAGACCATCAAATGTGACCACCAGCGTTTCATGAATTGATGTTGATCTTCGTTTTCTTGTTATGTTCTGAAACTGCGATGTTGTACATCTCATCCTTGTTTTTGTCACACTATAAATCATTATAACAAGTATTGGAACATGGTTTGAAATATATATATATTAAAGCCTGGTTTTCATTAGTAATACACGTTTCAGGAAATACAACACCTTAGCTACATATATAGAGCCTAGTTTTCGTCATTGTGAACTCTTTAACTAACGCCATGCGCACGAAAACGAGGCTCTATCACTATAGTCAAGGTGACGTACTTTCCGGAAGGGTGTATTGTCTTGACCAGGTCATGTTCGATGAAGTGAAATAGTCTGGAGCAATCTTTTGTTTTATGTACTGCATGATGTTGCTGCATGCAAATTAGTGTTTTCTGGCACGGATGTACGAGAGCTGCACCGGAATCGCAGGGCCGCAAGGTTCAATTCCTGCCAAACAGCCAATAGTTGCATTTTCCGCAGCTGATTCTGGTTAGGTCTAAAAGTAAAACTGTATAAAATATGCACTATAGAAATTTCCATCTAAAAAACCCTAAATTTAATAGTTAGTTCTATCAAGTGAAATGCCCAAAATTCTGATATATGAAACTCTATTGCATCGGTCACCCAAGGGCTCTGGGTACGAGAATGATCGGTCACCGTGATTTGTTCGCGACAATCACGATTAGATGGAAACCAGGCTTAAGATCGAAACGCAACTCCTTGTGTAATCCAGGGAATCAACATCATCGGCCAAGTACATACTCTTGTGACAGATAGCTACCGTCATGTCT